GTAAAAAAGAAAGTTATAGCAATGGAAAGTGTCAAGAATACACACCCATGTAAATTTTCACAGCTTGTAAAAGTCAAGAAAAACACACTTTTTATTTACATGGCTTGGAATGCAGAATTAAAAACATAACTATAAAAAAGATGAGAGAAACCTGGATGGATTGGGAGAAAGTAAGGACATAGCCATACTTCTGGAGGCAGTGGATTATTCCCTGACCATTCATAGACTCCAAGCACCTATCAGGGACATCAAATATTGACAAAAGGTTCACAGATGTGTTCAAATGTTTACCCCTTTTCTGAAAATTATAAATAAGTAAACAGTAAAGACTGATTATGTACCGAAAGCCACATTTTCCCCCAAGATGTAATCGCAATTGCACTACCATGTTCTAGGATCCACTCACGTCCTTTTTCAACTGCCCCTTGTCGGCCTTCAGCACCTTCACCAAGCAGCCTCAAGCTAACATAACTTAAGACCGAACCAAACATGGTGCTTGGGCCTTCAATGTGAAGACCCCAACCACCGTCTCTATTCTGCAAGAATCAAATAACTCTTAGAACAGAGCAGTTTTCTTCATTTGTTCATAAAATAATGGCAATGTCAACTGACTGTGAATAGCTAGCAAAAGATGGTTGACTTAAGTGGTTCAGTTTTCCTTTGATCCAGATAGCACCACACTTACCTAGAACAAGCTCAACTGATGTGAGCAACATTCCAAAGAGCCAACAGGAAAAAAATTACAACGTATTTACGTCATGGTTATATTGTAATATCTACTCAACAAGCAGAATTAATCAAATCTAAAACGCACACACAATCCACATTACTTGCCTGGTGATTGTATAGATATCTGCATATCTCATATTGATGCTCCTTTGATAGGACGGTATTCAAGGCTCCAGTAACATATAATGTTATAACCTGTTACCGATTGTGAACAAAGATTGAATTACACATCATTCAATTACTAGTTGTTGAGAGATGCAGTAATGTCAAGGTAATCAGAAAGCTACCAAAATGTTAATATTCTGGAATCACAAAGTAAAAGATGCAGACAAATGACAAAACAAAGGATTGGTTCTTCCAATACACAGAAAAATGCTAAACTTTAAAACATTCCAGTAAGTAGCTGTTTAATTTTTTCTGTAGATTAAGAATAGAAAAGTCCTATTAAGTATTTTCCACATCAACAGACAAATCATAATCAGATGCAGCTTACATGTTAAGCCTTACCAAACCAGGAAGTAGAAACATAGGGCCGCCATAATCTCCAGGCCAGTGACCATCTTCAGCTTGAATTGTTGAATAAAAATTTAGGGCTCTGCGTAATGTTGTCACTACAGCCTCTTCCTCAACATCTTCGAACTCTTTCAGTTTGATTTGTGGTAAACTGTTGACAGATTGTTTCTCCTTTGCGAACTACACCCATAAATGCAAATGGCATAAACAATCAACAATGGCTTAGACGACAGGTCAAAAAACAACAAATCTTTTATCTACCTGTTAAGTGTTTCCATACAAATTGGATATGAAGTTTACCACGGCATAATAGAACAGTTTTGGTCTTGCTTATATATATATATATATATATATCAAATCAATCATAGAAGTAAAATTTTCATGTAATGAATACTAAGAAAACTATATGAAGATCCCAACGGAAGGGAAGTAATTCTGACCAAAATTGGGAAACAAATTACAGGAAAAACTATTTAACAAAATACCCAAATCATTTTTCAACACCCGTATTAACCTGAATTCTCATGAGAAGATCAGAACTGTTCTTTTTCTGGAAACGATTATCCTGGAAATTCTGACGAGCCATTTCCACCTGAGAGAGCTCTTCCAAGGTTGCTGATTCAGGGCAGAATTCCCATACTTGACGCCCCACATGATTGTTCAAACTCCTTAGCCATCCCCCACCATTGCCAACACTCTCTTCCGCAATCTTAAGTCTCCACATTTTGTTTAAAACGAAAAAGAAGAAGACAATTCTTCAGAATCTTTACTTCTTTAGTAAACTTCCACAATTGTTTTGTTAACTATGAATGAGAAATGCTTTCAAGACTGAAGAAGACCCCGTTGGAAAGTGATTACAAATCGTCATTGACAATACATAGTCTATCGGATTTGTGGGAATGTTTACAAGTGAATTGAAATTAATAATTAGAATTTAATTTTATATTTTATTTGGTTGGTAGAAATATTTTATTTGAATATCTTAGATGAATTTGATTTTAGTAATGTAAAATGATAAAATTATTTTTTTATTTTTTTGTTTTATTTTAGTTTATTTTACAACTTACATGTAGTAATATATTATAAAAAATTAAAAAATATTAAATTTTCATTTTATTGATTGATTATTCATTTCAATAAATTATAAAAATTATGTTAATAAATATCATAAGTTAAAATCATCGCAATCAAAATATGTTAATAAGTTATTAAAAGATAGAGTAATTTTTCGATACATTTCAATCGGAGTATGTTAATTAGTTACCAAAAAATATACCAAAAACTATTTTTATTCAATATATGAATTAGAAATCCGACACGACATAAAATAATAAAAAAATTATTTTTATTCAATAAAAACATTGATTTAATTGGGAAAAAAAATTATATATAGAGGGGTATTATTGTAATTATTTCTAAATATATAAGGTAAAATTATATATTTTTTGGGTCGGGTCCGGTTTTTTTCACCCTAAACTCGAACCCGACCCGACCTGAATATCACACTTAAAAAACCCGACCCGAATATCACACTTAAAAAACCTACCCAAACAAAATAAAGTTTCACCCGACCCGAATATATGAATTAGAAATCCGACCTGACCCGAAATAATAAAAAAAATATTTTTATTCAATAAAAACAATGACTTAATTGAAAAAAATTATATATAGAGGGTTATTATTATAATTATTCCTAAATATATATGATAAAATTATATTTATTTTCGGGTCGAGTATTTTTTCACCCTAAACCCGAACTCGACCCGACCCGAATATATGAATTAAAAACCCGACCCGAAATAATAAAAAAATATTTTTATTCAATATATGAATAAGTTACCAAAAGATTAATGAGGGTACTATGGTCAAATTTTAATTCCCTCCAACAAGGGAATTGAATTTCATCCTTGTTCATCTATTCTTGAATGTAATTCATTTTTCCTCATTTGATAGAAAGTTGAAATCATGAGGAATTCCAATTCCCTTGGAAAACTTTAACCAAACATGAAAAAGTGGTAGAATTTGATTCCAATTCCCACAAATTCCAAGATATTCATGCCAACCAAACACTACCAAAGTCTCAATGATGGATAAACAGATGTCAACAACTTGTGGGATTCATTAGGCATGAGTTAAGCTACACTTGAAAACGTTAATAAAAGCTCAAATTTTGTCATTTAAATTATGGGTTTTGTTTTTATATTTCATTATTATAAAAACAAAATAATTCAAAAAAATCATTTTAAGTTAGATTTATGTGTGAATGGCCTACATATTTGGAAGTGATTATTAACTGCCGTCTAACGCAGGAAATAATTAAAGATAGGTAATGAAAGGGACAAAGCAGGCGGACGACTTTGTTTGCTTCATTGATGTGGTAGTCGCCCAACCACTCCAGTAATAACTTCACCCACACCCACTACTTGAAAATAGATATTCCCCAACCAATCACCATCTAAACAAATTCAATTTCCTCCACTCATCAGCAACTAACAAATACTCAAGATACAAGTGACTGAATTGAGTGGTTGTATAGATTTATGACTATTTATTTATTTTTGTTGACTCAAATTTTAATAATGATGTACGAATTAAATTATTTTAACGGTAAAAGAATTATTATTCTTTAAGATTATAGGTTCGAACAATATGAACGTTAAAGATACGAACCTTTAATATTAAATGGTTGAAAGTGTTATTTAAATAAATATTACCTTATAATTGATAATATATGTGATTGAAAATAAACTCTGGGTTTAAATAATCAAATTAAACTTGTAAACACATAAGTTAAATTCTCATTAGTAATTTCAAATAAAAATGAACGTCAACATAATTGATTATTATATAGTTTAATCTGATTGAATGTCTTTGAATGCAAGCGGAGTCGTGCATAAAACCTTGTAGTGTAAACGAACCGAACGCACATGAACATAGATATGTTCATATTCATTCATTTGATAAATAAACGAACATGAACATAAACGAACAATTTTTTTTGTTCATGTTCGTTCATTAAGGAATATAATTTGTTCATGTTCTTTCATTTAAATGATAAACGAACATAAACGAACACAAACGAGCGAACATAAACGAACATAATAAATAAACATAAACGAATACAATAAACGAATATAAATAAACAACACAAACACACAAAAAAAACTTATTCAAACACAACAAATGAATGTAAAAAAAATAAACAACAAGAACAAGAACTTAAAATTCATTAATATAACCTGCAACTTTAGAGTTAATTTGTTCAAATACAACAAAAACATACATAAATCATAAATAAGTTATATGAACATAATAAAGTCTTAAAGTTAATTTGTTCAACAAAACAATTTTCTTGAAATCTAAACAACTTCAATAATCTTCGTAACATATTCAACTTACCTTATGTTCGAACATAAACGAACGAACATAAATGAACGAACATATAATAGAACATTCACGAACGTAAATGAACGAACAAGCCCTTTGTTCGGGTTCGTTCATTTAATTAAACGAACGTAAAATTTTATTCACGTTCGTTCATTTAATAAATAAACAAACTTTTATCCCACGGTTCGCTCTAACATTCAATTCTTTTACCCTCTCGCTCTAACATTCAATTCTTTTACCCGCATAAAACCTTGAGCTTGGTTAAGAAGGAAAAAGAACTTTTAAATCGGAAGAAAAACCAAAACTATAAGCTTGATCTCATTGTAGGTATCCCTCCCCCAAGACAAAGTAAAAATAGAAAAATGGTTTAAACCATCCAAATAAAAAAAGAGTGCAAAAGTGCTTAAAATTGGAAGGCAGTCCTGGCATTTCTCCGACGCGCATCTCAGCTTCTAACCCACAAAATCATGCCCCGTGGCTAAGAATATAGCAATGTTTACTCGGATTCACCAACTTTGGATCCTCTACCTTCCATCCTTTTATTACAGAAATCATCACCAACTCTCCTATTCTTGGGATTTTACGCCAAACGTATCGTGCTGTGGCGTTTGTCCCCTGATTTTCTTCTTCAACTCTCTTTCATCCCTCACGCTTTCCCTTGTCCCAAAAAAACAAGAAACACGGCAACAACAATCGAAGCAAGTAAATGCAAGGAAAAGGAAGAAACGAGATAAGAATTAGTTAAGCTCATGCAATCAAAATCAAAACCCGTTTCCAATATCGACGCCCGTGTTGATTGCTTAGGTAACAAAGCTTCCACGTTGTAGCAAGCAATGGTAATGGGCACGCACATAGCTAGGCTTGTGCGCATGCCAAATCCATCGTTGTTCCTTGCACTTACTGTTCTTTTATCATCATCGTTAGTGGTGGTCCACTCGGCCGGTGACCCGAAGGAGATTGAGCCCCTCTTGACGTTTCGGGACTCGTTTACGGACCCATCGGCTCTTTCCAATTGGAATGCTTCGATTAATCCATGTACAGGAGAGGCAGCAAATTGGATTGGCGTTCTCTGCAGCGAAAACGGTAAAGTTCTGGGTTTGCAACTTGAGAACATGGGTCTATCAGGGGTGGTGAATATTGAAATTCTTGATCCATTGGAGGACTTGCGCACTATAAGTCTTATGAACAATAATTTTGAAGGCAAAATACCTGAGATGAAGAAGCTGAGCAGATTGCAGGCTTTGTTTTTATCGAATAATCATTTTTCTGGGGAGATTCCTGATGATACATTTGAAGGGATGAAATCGTTGAGGAAAGTGTTTTTGGCAAATAATATTTTTAGTGGCAAAATCCCTTCCTCGCTAACTAAATTGCCTAAGCTAGCAATTCTGAAATTGGAGGGGAACGGATTTAGTGGCCCGGTGCCTGAATTCACCGGGAACGAATTGAAGATGGTGAACTTGGCTAACAATCAACTTGAGGGTCCTATCCCAAAAAGCTTAAGCAAAATGGCTGACCACTTTTTCTCAGGTACCAGTACACCACTGCATGCATTTTGTGTTGAAGACTGTAAAAATCTTTATGTATTGGTTCATCTCTTGTGCTGTGGTGCAGGGAACAAAAATCTATGCGGGCCACCTCTCAAAGAATGCGCTAATCTCAGCCCTCCGCCTCCCGGTTCTCCGCCAACCTTCCCACCGACCCCTCTGACACCCATAATTAAAAAGTCATCAACTTGTCTACAGATTGCCCTCATTGTGGTATCTGTAGCTTTAGTACTGGTTATTTTATTATTCCTTTTCTTTCTCCTGCGGCGGAGAAGGGAATACAAAACATGGGAGGAGGAAGCATTCGTTGTTGAGTCATATAAGCCGCCGCCATCACCTTCCGTCGAAGTGGAAAAGAAAGCCCCACAACCAACTCCAGCTCCCCACGTGAAAAGGACTGAATTGATATTCTTGAAAGATGATGTCCAAAGGTTCGACTTGCAAGATCTATTGAAAGCCTCGGCTGAGATTCTGGGTAGTGGGAATTTCGGAGCTTCGTACAAGGCCATGATAGGGAAAGGTGAAGTGGTGGTGGTGAAGAACTATAAGCAAATGAATAACTTGGGGAAGGAAGAATTTAACGAGCATATGAGACGATTAGGAAGGTTGAACCATCAGAACTTGCACCCTTTATTGGCTTATTACTATAGGAAAGAGGAAAAACTATTGGTTACCAGCTTCATGGTTGATGGTAGCCTGGCTAGTCACCTTCACGGTGAGATTCCCATCCCCTAATTCTCTTATTTTTTTTCTTCTCTTTATTGGGGGTATCTGAATCTTTTTATAGTTTCGGAAGTTATCTTTGAAAATTATCAACTCTATGTGTTGTACGTATAAATTTTCTGGATACAAGCCTTCGAAACAACCACATTATGTAAACAATTTTTTTACAGGTTCACATGTCATACTAGAACGAAATCTGAGGTATCACTATTAGATTTATCTAACTCATTAGTGTATAATTTTTTATATCACTAATCAGGATCACTGTGAATACCGCTCAACACGCAACTGAACACCCAACTGAGAAAGAGATACGAGATATCCATAATCTCAAAACCTTCCCTTTAAAACCAACTCCTCCATAAACACTGGTTACCGTAAGTTACTAACTCAGGTTTTTTTTTTTTTTTTGTACAGCCAACCGTTCCCGTGATAATCCGGGTCTTGATTGGTCGACTCGGTTGAATATCATAAAAGGAGTTATCAAGGGGTTGAATTATCTCTACAACCAGCTGCCAACCATAGTTGTTCCCCATGGGCATTTGAAATCTTCCAACGTGCTTTTGGGCAAGAACTTTGAGCCTCTCTTGTGCGACTATGCATTGAGGTCATTGATAAACCAGGACCAAGCTCACAAGATGATGACGGCTTACAAATCACCGGAGTACGCAAAGACCGGTCACATAAGTAGGAAAACCGACGTGTGGTGCCTAGGCATACTCATCCTGGAGATCTTAACAGGTAGGTTTCCAGAGAACTACCTAACAACCAGTTACGATCGCAACATGAATTTAGCCACTTGGGTGAATAAGATGGTTAAGGATAAGAAGATCAGTGACGTGTTCGACACGGAAATGAAAGGAGCTAAGAACTGCAAAGGCGAAATGATAAACGTGTTGAATATCGGCCTAAGTTGTTGCAATGAGGATTCGGAGGCAAGACCCGAGCTGAAGGAAGTACTGAAAGAGATTGAAGGGTTAAAAGGGGGAGACGACGATGACGACGATTCGTCTTCAACCATAGGTGAAGTGAACGTGAGTATATCCCGGGGTCATAAACATAGTAAAATGAAAGGTGATCCTTCGTCCTTCGATCGTTGACCTATACAGATTCAAGGGGGTGAAAAAGATGCGAATGTAAGGAAACCAAATGCTCCGGCTATGTCTTTTCATGAAGAACAACAACAACAAGGGTGTGTTAAGCTTTTCTCTCCACATGTAAAATGAAAAGCATGGTTGGGCCGTAATTCGGAGCTGGTTTATACATTTTCTAAGCCGGTGAAGGAAATACAGAACAAAAAAGCAAATATTTGATACATTTCTCTTTGAAATTAAAAGGACACAAATGCAAATATTTGTTGCTAGTTTTTTATTTTTTTTTCATTTGTTATATTAGTGATTCTAATTTTTTTTAACATAAATTAAAGGCAGGCCTACGTGGCCAACGCATGTATTTACTTTATTTTTGTACTTGGATTACATCAAATCTTATCTTAATCGGGCAAACTAAATATGTCTTCCATGGCATGCGTTTTATAGAAATGTGATGGTTTTTGCCATATCTTCAAGACAATTTGCAAATTTTCCCTCTGATTCACAAATTGTGTATGTTGAGCCTATGAATAGATTTTATATATCTTCATTGAGAACTGTGGCATATTGGTTTAGAAATTATATCAGATTTCTTATTGTTACAAGAAAATGGAGTTTTTTACGCATGATTGGTTTAGAAATTAAATCAGATTTCTCATTGTTATATCAGATTTCTTATTGATTCTTAGTAAGATTACATGAGGATGGTGAACCCCCCCCCCCCAAAAAAAAAAAAAACGCACACACACATTAAATATCCCTCTAAACCATCTGGATTATTGGATGGTGATCCATGAAATGGCATTGGGGTTCATACGGGTGCACGTTGGGAGTAATATTAGGTTGCCTCTGAAACGGTGGAACTTGGAAGAAAGTGCTTTGAATCACACAAGGTGGCCATGATTTTCCATTGAATGGGATGTTACCCTTCGGGATCCTCCTCGAAGGGCAGCTGAGCTCTACCGTTGAGTGGTGTGACTAAGGAAGGAAGGCGGAATAGGTTCTCAGGTTTTTGGGGATTCTTCAGCGAGGACAGAAGGGATAGAGATGGATTTTTCAAAGCCTTAATTGATAATTCAATCCCAAGTTAACAAAAAGGAAAAAGATGTAGTTGATTCAAAATACACCTTTTCTAAGTCATCCTCGGATAGGAATGGTAAGGAAGCAGTCAAAGATCAGGCTTATATTGGACCTAATTTTGGTTTCAAAACTAAAATGTGGAAGATAACCCAATTGCAAATTTACAGTGTTAAGTGTAACAGATATAACGTCTCCATTTGAATAGTTACGTTGTATGACATTTGAATAGGATATTTTTCAAATAGGTCAATCTTTCTCTCAATGATTTGTGCCTCAGATTAGCATGTCATAAATAAAGACGGTGTCAGGATTGTAATTCAATGGGACAATATATAACTAAAAGTAGAAAATGAGAGAAACAAAATCAAAATAAATCAAATTTTGATGGCCTAAATACTACCTCCAACCTTACACATAGCTCCGTTCCTGATCATAAAGTCATATAATATTTGACGAGAGACATTCCCTCGATTTATTAGTCAATCTCATATCAATATGTCCAAACAGATAAGCCACGTATTAGTCCTCAAGCCAAAAATATTATTAGATGAGAGATCCCACGGGACATAGCAAATGCTAAAGTGCAACCTCACTCCTCAACCAAGAGCATGATATAGAACTTACATGCCCCAAATCATCCCTATATATTTATATTAGAGAGACGTTGTACCATCCATTTTGTCCCAATGCCCGCATTTTATTTATACCATGATAGCTCCACATGCTAGCTCAGAGTGAAGGGATGGTGGAGATCCAACACTAGATCATTTTTCCCTAAAGAAATTTACAAGTTATGATTGGAATGTCCCAAACGAGGCCACCTCCTTAGTAGGTCCTTTATTGTCATTCTTCACGTTTCTTCTTGACTTATGATCGTCTCTATTTGAACCTCCATCGAATTATTGTCAAGGTAATCTCATGTCTGTGAATCGTCCCTAACATTAAGCGCACCTAAATCCAATCCTCCACACCAAGAGTTTTTACATAAAATGATTCGAATGGTGTCAACAATGTTATATCGACAAGTCTTGTTCAACTGGTTTGTCGAAACCTAATGAAGCTAGTAAGCTAGAACATTTGGAATTTAAGGATGTTATGAGATAGTTCGGTGTCTCTAATACATGCCGAAAGATATTAATCTTTCTATAATTTTTTTTATTGAAATAAATCTATAACATTCGAAAACACAAAAGTTAGGAAATCATATAGTTTCAGTAACAATATAATATTGATATGAGTTGTCATGGGTGAAGGATAAAGTAACTATTTTTTTCTCTCTATATATATATTAAATTAATCTCATGTACTTTAATTAAATTAATAAAAAAAGGAAATACAATTTTATCATGACTAAACATAGACAACTCAACCCAAGTAAATGTTGAAACAAATTCTTTAAATACATATTTAAAAAAAAATCAATCAAATAAATCAGGTTTAGATCCTAAATCTATCCGCGCACAAATATTTAGAACAATCTATTTAAATATATTATTTTAATATAGAATAAAATAATAAATAAAAATGTTTTCTTTTTAAAAAAAGTAATTTATTTAGCTAAACAAAGGAAGGAAAGACGAGCGTCAGATTTTAAAAGGCATCAAACATACACTAGTTGCATGGATTTACTTTTTATGCAGCGTATAGATATAGATACGCGTACGAATAATCATTGGTGCATTGTTAAGGTTTCCATTGGAAAAACAAAAGAAATGGGGAGTTTTATTAGGTGTTAATGAGAGGAACACGATTCTCGGACAAAAAACCAGAAGGATCAGGTGTTAAAAGAGAGATGGATGGTCAATATCAGCCTGCCGCGTAGAGATTTCGTAGCCTTTTTCTTTTTAGTTCTTTGAGAGGAGACTAATAAGAAACAAAGAGAGCAAAATGTGGTACCCGAAGGGAAGTACGAGTACATCCATCAAGAAAGGAGGTGGCAATGGGCTGGTAGCGGTAGCCACTGATAAGGACAAAGGCAGCCAACATGCTTTCAGATGGGCTGTTGAACATCTTCTTTCCAAAAAGCCAAACCGTTGTTCTTATTCACGTTGTTAATAAAAATGGAGCCAGTATTTTTCAAAACCCTAATTCTGCTCGGTCGCTTATCTTCATTCTCCATTCTCATTATGTTTGTTCTGGTGCAGGTAACGGTAGCGACTCATCCAACTTGTTTTTGTACCCGAAAAGATGTACGTTTATGAATGGAACAAACAAATCCTCGTGTCTTTGACATTAGTTAACGTTGTGGTTTATTTATATGATTTGATGTGAGCTTGTCTCCTTTACGACACATACATTCTCTTGATGTCGTGCTTGAAGATTCAGATGTTGTAAAAGCATTGACAGAATATGTTTCTTATGCCGCAATTGAGAAATTGGTTCTGGGTGCCCCATCTCGAAGTGGAATCATGAGGTATTTCTTCCCAACTTGATAGCCGTACATGATGTTCATTTCAGCATTGAAATTCTTATGCGAAAATGACCGTTCTGCAGAAAATTCAGGGACGACGTACCGAGCTGTGTGTCGAAAGCTTCAAGTCTTCAACAGGTTTCTGCACCGTATATGTCATTTCGAAAGGAAAGGTATCTTCGGTAAGAAACGCCGTTCGTGCCGCCCCATTCGCCTCCCCATTACTTGATCAAATTAAGAAATCTACTAGCCGCAGCCAAGGGTTGTTTGTGAGCAAGCCCTCCCTGAGTAATCCTGGTTCAGGAAAAGGAGGTTTGTTTCCTTTCTACACTAATATCTCCTTTCAGTTTAGTTTCCATTTACATCTAGATTAATTGAGAAGGTAATATTTGCATCTTGACTATGCAGTAGATAATCGGTCAGCGAGCAAGCATCGGACTTCAATCGACCGCGGCTCCTGGCGAGTCTCGAGAAATAATCCTGTTAAGCAAAAGATGTTTGTTTTACGATGACATGAACTTGCTGGTGAACTAACCATCATCTTTACAAAATCAGGTTACCCCCTACAAGAGCCAGTCTAGCCAGAGCGTTCGCGGATTTATCCGAATCGGATACCGATATATCGTTTGTTAGCTCGGACCGACCAAGCACTGATTGTGGCTCTTCTTTTCTCTTTGATTCGTTCATCGACTCTATTCGGAATTTGCGGTTATCGAACTGCACAGATATTAGCGTTGGATCAATGCGTACAGGAATGAGGTGGGCTGACTGTAGTTCTCAATTCGATTTCTCACAACCGTCGATTGACAGTGGAAGATCATCTTGTTCATCGCAGAATCTGGTACGTTAATCAGGTTGTCTCCAATGGAAGACTAGATTTAAGATAGACACCTGCAGGTTCCATTCATCTCTTATCAAATTGAAGATCAATATTATTGAAAACAGAAGTTCGTTTGTTTTTGTCTGAATATTATCTTGTAATGCATGCAGAGAAGCAATTTCAGCAAAGCAACAGGTACAAGCATCAAGGATGTCATCTTTTTAGCCCTCCCACCGTGAAGTTTTCTGAATTGTAGTCTCACTAACCTCAGGCAATAGAGATAAAACAATGAAAAAAATCAAGAATAGCAGAGACTGGAAGAGGTACAACAAGCCGAGGAAGCTGCAATGACAGCCGTAGAGAAAGAGAAAGCCAAGTGCAAAGCAGCCGAATCAGTACAGAAACGAGTAGAATCGAAGCGAATGTTGGCTAATAAAAGAGGGGGAGGGAGCCCTAAGAGAAACTAGGAAATGAAGAGGATGTTGCAGATTCTATCCAACAGTAATATCAAATACAAAAGATACTCCATTGAGGAAATTGAGAAGGCAACAGAGAACTTCGCCCCCAATCGGAAAATTGGAGGAGGTTATGGTCCTGTCTTCAAGTGTTACCTTGAACAAACACAGGTTGCAGTTAAAGTTCTGCGACCAGATGCTGCTCAAGGGAGATTACAGTTTCTTCAAGAGGTAAACAAAAAAGCTTTAAACCTATAATCGATTAAGGGATTCTTTAAAGACATGAAATCATTTGAACATGATGATGTTGATTATTATTGATTTGCAGATTGAAGTACTGAGCTGCATACGCCATCCAAACATACTACTGCTTCTAGGAGCCTGCCCAGAGCATGGGATCCTAGTGTATGAATACATGCCATCGAGAATGGCACATTTGAAGAGATGCTGGACCCTGCAGTGACCGACTGGTCTGCTGAAGACACCTTTTCAATGGCCAAACTAGCAATACGATGTGCCGAACTGAGATGGCAAGACAGGCCCGATCTCGACAAGGAAGTGTTACCGGAACTGACTCGACTCAAAGAGATTGCTGAAGAGAACATGCCCCCTAGTTGTTTTGCTGATAGTGAGGGAGCTTCACCTACACATGACTAAGCTTCTTTTTTTATCAAAAGAAACAAGCATAAAGAGATAGTATTACTGCAACTGTTGCTCTTAATTCCAAACTATTTCATCTTGAATGTATGCCCCCCCCCCCTTTTCCCTACTTTGAATCTTCGTGAAGAAGAGAGAAAGTACTAGTATTCATTCTTCCCGTACTAATACTTTCTTTTACCTGAAATTCAAAGTATTATTCAATGGCTAAACTCTCGAGATAACGTTCTCGAATAAATTAATTCACGAGATAATGCACTCCTCAGATTAATTGCTCAAATAGGGTGAAATCTACAGTGTTGCTCGTAGGTCGTCATGCCATCCGGGCGACCTACTAGGTCGCCATGTCTTCCCGGCGAGCTATGAGAGAGATTGCATGTGTCATGCACGTTCCAACACGTTGGGCATCCGAAGCCATCCGACCGAGGGCATCCGACCGAGGGCATCCGAGCGAGCTATGCGAGGGCATCCGAGGGCAAGAGGAATCACGCGAGGAGCAGGAGGAGTGCATGGCGACCTACAAGGTCGCCAGGAGTGCATGGCGACCTACAAGGTCGCCAGGAGTGCATGGCGACCTACAAGGTCGCCCGGAGTGCATGGCGACCTATGCTGGGAAGCTGCCACGCCGTAGGTCGCCCAGAAGGCATGGCGACCTACGGCCAACACTGTGCAATTCGCCCTATTTGAGCAATTAATCTTGGGAGTACGTTATATCGTTAAATAAACAATTCGAGAACATTATCTCGAAAATTTTGCCTTCAATGGCTAAACTCTCGAGATAACGTTCTCGAATAAATTAATTCACGAGATAATGCACTCCTCAGATTAATTGCTCAAATAGGGTGAAATCTACAGTGTTGCTCGTAGGTCGTCATGCCATCCGGGCGACCTACTAGGTCGCCATGTCTTCCCGGCGAGCTATGAGAGAGATTGCATGTGTCATGCACGTTCCAACACGTTGGGCATCCGAAGCCATTCGACCGAGGGCATCCGACCGAGGGCATCCGAGCGAGCTATGCGAGGGCATCCGAGGGCAAGAGGAATCACGCGAGGAGCAGGAGGAGTGCATGGCGACCTACAAGGTCGCCATGGCGACCTACAAGGTCGCCAGGAGTGCATGGCGACCTACAAGGTCGCCCGGAGTGCATGGCGACCTATGCTGGGAAGCTGCCACGCCGTAGGTCGCCCAGAAGGCATGGCGACCTACGGCCAACACTGTGCAATTCGCCCTATTTGAGCAATTAATCTTGGGAGTACGTTATATCGTTAAATAAACAATTCGAGAACATTATCTCGAAAATTTTGCCATTATTCAATACCCATTAATTTATTTTAATTTTTTTAATCCTTTTTCTAGAACTCGGTTGAGTTTTCTACAAATATTTTTGACTTTTTTTTCCCTTGAATTAGAATTGATTTTTTATTTTTAATTAATATTAAGAATATCATTTATTTTTTAAATAATCATTTAAATATTAGTATAATTGGATTTAGTTTTAATTCATTTCACTTCTTTACTCGCCTCTACTTTCACCTACGTTTGGGGCAACCAACTGCATATGGGTCCACTAATTTATAGAAGAGAACTTTAGGCCTTTTCTAAGTTAGCAATTTGGGCTTATTAAATGATCAGTGGGGGGGGGAACTAAACCCCAGCAGAATTTTATATATCTCTGGTTGTCCTATACGTTTCCCCAGAATTGTAGGTTTTTCAGCGGTGCTTCTTTCAATCGTTGCAAGGAAATGGAAGAACCTGCGACACCAACAGCCGTTCCTCAAAAGCTTAGTGGCAGAGACAACGGCAGCAAAACAAAGAGGAAGATCCCGATACCCCAAGAACTAATATTCCATTACCAAACCCAAGGCCTGGATGCCCAACAAGCTTCCGTCAAAGTCATTGAGGATCTCCAGAATATGGTAATGAGGGTCGTGTCGTCCAACTCCAAGCCCAAGAAAGACAAGTTCTTGATCGACGCTTCGAGAAAGATGGACAGTCTCAACAACAGGCTAGCTGTTGTGGATATGAAGCTCGACTCCAAGCCTGGCTATTTGGAGACTTTCGTAATTGGGGTTTCTTCCGGGGCTGCTTTAAGTGGCATCACCAGTGTTTTGCCTCATGTTTTTGAGGGTATTGCCCAGATTTGGTCTTCTGTTAGGACTGCTACCAAGCCTTCTTCTTAAATGTGTTTTACATTTAATTTTCTAGATAGAGTTTTATTTTGTTTTATCTGGCTTATGTTGGTTTGGGAATTTGTGTTAAGAGAACTTCAATGCTACTGAACTAGAATCAAATTTTAGAAATTTCTGCTCATATTTATGTAAGTATGTATTATACATGATATTGTGGTGTACTCTGCTATGGTAGCTTGTTGAAGGTTATTGCAGGGTACTTTTTCACCTTTGGCCTACAACTTTTGCGTTTTGTTTTCGCATAGCATCTTCATTGGAATCTTCCCGGAGGTAACTGAAGCTTTACATACATTTTGAATTGCCTATGCTGCAGATGACAAACAATGTATGATAGGATTTGAATCTTGTGTGAAGTGGAATTGGTAGAATGGGTGAAAAGTAAGAGCTAATTTGCATGAGAATTGATCTTCCCATGCCCTACCCAGGAGGCAAATAATGATGGTTTTGTTTATGTATGCTTCCCAGTTGAAGAATTCAAGCAGTTGGGTTTATAAAACTATGGTGACATTTGAGTTGATAGTTTTTACTTCCCTTGAAAAGAGTGACCAACTTCAGAACTTGGGTGTTCATGCGATTGGGGTACCGGAGAACATAGATTTGGATTTAGAAAAGATTGTTTTTTCTCCTTTCCATAAGCTTATTGAGAGCCAATTTGGTGAGGCGCCAAGCCAGTGATCAGACAGCAAGACACTGCAATGATAATGTGTTCATCAGGTTCTAGGGGGTATTAGCAAGGGGTTGTATTAACTCATGGGAATTTAATAGTGTTGAAAATTGGTACATCAAATTGTATCAATTGTCAACATTATGGGTGGCAATTTGGTGGCATTAATGGGATGACAAAATTGGTCAAATTTGGTTATCAAATTGTTGAAAATTTTGGATGGTAAAACTATGTAATTAGTCATTGTAATTTAGGGTATTTATAAATTAGTCCTTAAAGCTTCAACTATAAATACCTTAGTTCATTTAGCTTCAAAATCATCACAAAGCATTCTAGTTTTCTTCCAATACTAGAGAGATTTTAGAGAGTTTCTTAAGAGTTGTTTACTCCTTTTTATCTAGAGAGATTTATCATTGTTTTCTCCTTGGTAGATCGAGAGAGGTTGTAATTCCTATTTTCTCATAGTGAAATTCTTCTACCGTTGCCTGTGGTTTTTACCCTAAATTTTTAGAGGTTTTCCACGTAAATTTTGTGTCTCTTTTATCTTTATTTTTATTTTCTCAAATTATCAGTTGTGATTTTGCTCTATCTGATAGCCGTCTTTCGCAACAATTGGTATCAGAGCTAGATTAGAGTATGTAATATTTGCTTATTGTCTTTGTGGTTGCAACCAAAAGGTGGATCCTCCAACATAAGAAAGTAAAAAGTTATTACCCATTCTTTGAAGGTTCTAGAGAACTATTCACGATAGTGAAATAGTGGGAGCTATCCGTAAACGAAGCAATGGCAACGAAATTTGATATTGAAAAGTTCAATGAGAGAAATTTCTCATTGTGGAAATTGAAGATGAAGGTCATCCTGAGGAAAGACGGTTGTCTAGCAGCTATCAGCGAAAGGCCGGTAGATTTCACAGACGACAACAAATGGATCGAAATGGACGGAAATGCTATGGCAAACTTTCATTTAGCATTAGCAGATGAAGTATTGTCAAGTATCGAGGAGAAGAAAACAGCTAAGGAGATATGGAATCATCTCATCAAACTGTACGAGGCCACATCGTTGCACATTAAATTTTCCTTAAGAGAAAATTGTACACTCTCCGTATGCCAGAATTTACTTCAGTGACGGAACACTTAAATACACTGAACACTTTATTTTCTCAGCTTACATCCTTAAGCTGTAAAATAGGAGAACAAGAATGTGCTGAACTTCTACTTCAAAGTCTACCGGATTCATATGATCAACTCATCATCAACTTGACAAACAGTAATGTCACCAGTCTAGTCTTCGATGACGTTGCAGCTGTTGTTCTACAAGAAGAAAATCGACGCAATAACAAGGAAGACATACAAGTAAATTTGCAACAAGCAGAAGTGTTGACAACGATGAGAACGATGAGAGGGAGATCAACAGAACGTGGCCAAAGCAGCAGTCACAAACATGGTAGATCGAAGTCGAGAAGCAAGAAGAATTTAAAGTGTTACAACTGTGGAAAGAATGGTCACTTGAAGAATGATTGTTGGAGTCTAAATAAAAACTCCAATCCACAAGGCAATACCGCAAACACTTCAGATGATGGAGATGCTCTATGTTGTGAAGCGTCAACCACCGTGGAAGGAAGAAAACGATTTGCAGATATATGGCTCATTGATTCGGGAGCAACATATCACATGACCTCAAGAAGAGAATGGTTCCATTATTATGAACCTGTCTCATGAGGATCTGTGTATAGTTGCAATGATCATGCCTTAGATATCGTTGGCGTGGGAACCATCAAATTGAAGATGTATGATGGAACAATTAAAGTTGTTCGAGATGTGCGGCACGTGAAAGGTCTGAAGAAAAATTTATTATCCTACGGATTGTTGGATAATAATGCTAGCAAGATTGAAACACGGAAAGGAATCATGAAGGTGTTCCGTGGAGCGCTTGTGGTGCTGAAAGGTGAAAAGATAGCTGCAAACTTGTACATGCTGAAGGGAGAGATATTGCTAGAAGCAGAAGCCTCTGTTGCCTCATGTAGTTCAGATTCTACAATGCTATGGCATAAGAAACTTGGACACATGTCAGAACAAGGAATGAAAGTCCTTATGGAGCAAAAGCTACTTCCAGGCTTAACAAAGGTATCACTTACTTTATGTGAGCATTACATAACAAGTAAGCAGCACCGGTTGAAATTCAACACATCAAATTCTAGAGGCAAAAGTGTTCTAGAACTGGTTCACTCTGACGTATGGCAAGCACCAGTTACATCCCTAGGCGGAGCAAAATATTTTGTCTCATTTATTGATGACTACTCTAGGAGATGTTGGGTGTACCCTATTAAGAAGAAGTCCGATGTCTTTTCAACTTTCAAAATCTTCAAAGCGCGGGTGAAACTTGATTCTGGAAACAAAATCAAGTGTTTCAGAACAGATAATGGAGGAGAATACACAAGTGAAGAATTTGATGACTTTTGCAGGAAAGAAGACATCAAAAGACAGTTCACAGTGGCGAACACTCCTCAACAAAATAGAGTGACAGAGCAGATGAACAGAACCTTATTAGAAAGAACAAGAGCAATGTTGAGGGATGCAGGCCTAGAAAAATCATTATGGGCAGAAACAGTCAATACCGCCTGTTATTTGGTGAATCGAGCTCCATCAACTGCAATAGAGCTGAAGACACCAATGGAGATGTGGACTGGTAAACCAGCTGATTATTCAAACCTCCATGTATTTTGAAGTATTGTGTATGTGATGTACAACTCCCAAGAAATTTCAAAGCTGGATCCAAAATCCAGGAAATACAAATTCTTGGGGTATGCTGATGGTGTAAAGGGGTATCGCTTGTGGGATCCTACTACCCGTAAAGTGATCATTAGCAGGGATGTTATCTTTGTAGAAGATAAGTTACAAAGAAAAGAAGATGATGATAGCGCTGAAAAGTCAGAGACTACACAGATACATGTGGAAAATGAGGTTGAACAAGGAGATTCTTCTGAAGCAGAACCAGCACATGATGAACAAGAACCTGGGAGTTCTGAAGCTCCAACAACTCGTCAATCAGATCGTGTGAGAAGACGTCCCAATTGGCACTCAGATTATGTTATAGAATGTAATATTGCATACTGCCTTTTAACAGAGGACGGTGAGCCATCAACATACCAGGAGGCAATACACAACTCAGATGTTTCACTGTGGATGATGGCAATGCAAGAAGAAATCGAAGCCCTTCATAAAAATAATACATGGGACCTTGTGCCACTACCACAAGGAAGGAAGCCAATTGGTAACAAATGGGTTTTCAAAATCAAGCGAAATGGTGACGATCAAGTGGAGAGGTATCGTGCAAGACTGGTGGTCAAAGGATATGCTCAAAAAGAATGTATTGATTTCAATGAAATATTTTCTCCTGTGGTTTGACTAACAACAGTTCGAGTAGTTTTGGCAATGTGTGCTACATTGGACTTACATCTAGAGCAGCTAGATGTTAAAACAGCTTTTCTTCATGGAAATCTTGAAGAAGAAATTTATATGCTCAAGCCTAAAAGTTTTGAAGAAAAAGAAAAGAACTTGTTTGCAGGTTGAACAAATCTCTGTACGGTCTAAAGCAGACGCTGAGGTGTTGGTATAAGAGATTTGATTCCTTCATTATGTGCCTTGGATACAACAGACTTAATGCAGACCCTTGTGCTTATTTCAAGAGGTCTGGTGATAACGATTTTGTTCTATTGCTGTTGTATGTGGATGACATGTTGGTTGCAGGACCCAACAAAGATCATATTGAAGAATTGAAGGCACAACTGGCTAGGGAATTTGAAATGAAGGACTTGGGATCAGCAAACAAGATTCTAGGGATGCAAATTCACCGAGACATAAGTAATAGGAAGATTTGGCTTTCACAAAAGAATTACTTGAAGAAAATCTTGTCACGATTTAGCATGCAAGATTGTAAGCCAATTTCTACCCCTCTTCCTATTAACTTCAAATTATCCTCCAGTATGAGTCCTAGCAGTGAAGAAGAGAGGATGGAGATGTCTCGAGTACCGTATGCATCAGCAGTGGGAAGTTTAATGTTCGCTATGTTATGCACAAGGCCAGACATTGCACAAGCAGTGGGAGTGGTTAGTCGGTACATGACGAATCCAGGCAAAGAGCATTGGAATATTGTAAAGAGGATCCTAAGATACATCAAAGGGACCTCAAATGTTGCATTATGTTACGGAGGATCAAACTTACTAATCAATGGGTATGTAGATTCTGACTATGCAGGGGATTTGGATAAAAGCAAATCTACTACAGGATATGTGTTCAAAATTGCTGGTGGAGCTGTAAGCTGGGTTTCA